CCTGAGTAATATCAGTCGCAAAAATCAGCAAAATGCGAAAGTTATAATTATTTCGTTCGCTGCACTGTAATAAACTTTTTCATGTACTGCCGCTCGAATGTGTTTTGTTTTTTTTTTTTTTTTTGGAACCTGGACGATATCAACCGATGAAATCGACAAATACAAAAGTTGCAATTATTAAAACCTCTTACATGAATTATAGACCACTCCGTATTCGTGGAGTTCGGTTGGCGTGGGTGTATAGGACGCTGTAATGGCGCAAAATTAGCGTTCACGTTTACGACCAAATTGAATTTTCTCACGCTCCAAATGGAGGCCGCGTTATGCGGAGTTTTCACGTGCAGAGAAAAGAAAGATATGTTCGTTTCAAATATGCCTAATTTCTTTCCTACTATTTTCCTTCGAAAAAAATTCTGAATAATGAAATAGCAGTAAACAAACATGTTATATCCTTCTTTTATCGTGAAAAACATTTGCAGGAAACAAGTCTTTTATCATTTGAATACAAATAGTGACTCAGGTGTCGAGTATTTATTTTTGAGTCCAGAAAGACCCAACCTCGGCATTTCCAGATTTAAATGCGAAATATTTTTATAAATAAATATCTTCATACAGTCGGTGTAGTAAGTATTCGTACAGCAACCAATTTGAAACAAAATTAATAAGAAAAGAAATGAGAGGCTACCATTAAAAGTTAATTTGAAACTTTAATTAGCGCAAATTCAACTCTAAAAATATGTTAGAATGTTGGTTAATTATTTCTTCCCCTAAAATTTATCAATAAAATAAATACATGAAGTTTTATTTTGAATTTCTGTACGAATACTTATTACACTGACTGTAAATATAAATGAAAGAGGATATCGATTTACCAAAATATAATTCCCCTTAGCTTTAACAAATTCCCAATAAAAAAACCTTAATAATAATTAAAGAATCATTCTGAATAGAAATTCAACATACAACAGTCGCATTCACGGACTGGTGTTTCCACTATACTAAACCAGAGTGATTTCCCTGTCAACAGCAATCTTTCCGCGTGGAAACACCGCTTAAAGGCGGGACAGGGAAAACAGTGGACAAGTGGCTATGAATGTATGTCGGTAACGAAGGCCAAGGTGTACTCCATGACACGGCTCGTAATTTATCGCGACTCGTCACGTGTTACGCCGCTACGAAACAATGGACGGGTGTACGAGCGCCATTGACCCAGATATTGGTTAAGCATTGACTTATGCACGCTCTACTCTTCCTTGGCTCGCGCTCGCGACCAGGAATACGTTCTCCCGTCGAAAGCATTGCGGATGCTTCGCGTTTCCCATTTCTCCCGTTGCTATACCTCGTAGATAACAATGGGGAAACGAGATTGCTTTTCGAGGTCTGATTTATGGACGTCAACCCGTTCCTATGCTTCGAGGAAAACGCATCTCCTCCGATGCGACGCTGACAGCTTCGCGCACGAATACTGAAAAACGCTATACGAGGTCCACCCGTATTTTTATCGGGGAAATGGTGCTCTGATACGTTTCTTAGCTCGCGGAATTTCGCATCGAGGGTGAAACTTTGCTTGGAGGAAAATGAATGTCAATGGAAGAGGGGATGGCGGTTATTGACACTGAACCCATCACGATCGGTCGAATGACGATTTTCCAATTTTTGTGAAAGAAAAACCTTCAAAAATACCCAATTTTGACATTTATAGATTTAAATATGAAATATCTTCATAAATATAAATGAAAGAGCATATCAATTTACCGATATAATTCGACTTAACTTTAACAATTGCCATTACAAATCGTTAATAGTAATTAATGAATCATTTAGAATAGTATGGGTCGACGCGTCTGACCATAACACGCCATTTCTACTTACGGTAGCGTTCTTAGCGCTGAATCGTGCGCGTAGTCATTTCTTTGAGTCAGAATTAGCGATGATGCACATCATGGAATGAACAAACACCTTATACAGAGTGTTGAAAACAAAATGACTCAATTTGGAAAGAATAAAATATACAACTTTCTGGTGGCTTGAAAAATGGAACACCCAACAATTCGTAGAAAATAATTATTTTCCACTCGATTTAAAATTTGCTCCATATCGTGTGACGTTTGAGAAACATGCTAAACATTCTTGGAGCGTCTATAATTTTGTCCCGGGGTGTATGCGCCCAGGGAAAACGAATGCGCTCGTATTAAATTTCTTACATCGCCTCCGGACGTTTACAGCCCTATCTTTTTCCTCCCAGTTTAATGGCTTTTGTCTTCCTTTAGTACACGCGACACTCGAGGTCTGAAACGCGCAAATGGAAGTTATTCATATCCGAACTTCAATCCGTGGAATCATTACGTGTTAATGCATCGCTTTCGGAATGTATTCCAAAAGGGACGAAGCGTCCCTTTTGTCCCTTTTCCTCTGCTTTTATTTCTGATTCTCGCGTGGAAAAAAATGGAGGTCGTCCAAAACACAGAAACAAAATAAAATGTATAACTTCGGAGTGGCTTGGAGAAGTTTGCATTATGGCATTTTATTTGTTGTTTATTGGCTATATGAGCCGTTCGTTGCACAAATCGATTAATTTCATGAAACTTTTTGTTTCTTAACTTTTTGTTAAGAAATACGATGAAATAATGTACAAATAATATTGTAATAATACAGTAATGTCTCCATAACTGCACAATTTGTGATTTCCACCTTTTCTTTTTTAGTTTGTAACAAAGAGTTGAAATAAATTTAATAAGGAACTCGTAAGGAGGAAACTGGTAAAATGGTTGCACTCGAGGGAAAGTTGGACGACGCGTGTTATAATTTCTTTGAATGTTTACTGATACCCCAGGGGTTGTCTCGCTGTTAGCTATCCCTGACCTTGGATATTTTCCTCAACACGACCGTCTACCTCGGGGTTGCGAAAAAGTAGCTATTGGTGGACGATATTGAAGTAAATAATAATAATTCTTTCTTTTTTAAATAACACAGGTATATATGAATTAAAAAAGTTTATTTGAGATACTCTCTGTCTAGTTTCACTGATAGTATACAGACTATTCTACTTTGAAATTAGAAGAACGAAGGAAAAATGAATTTATTAATATAAACAACGATCTGATATTTGCAAATGAAAATTGAAACAAAGGCAACATTGATAGTCACTAATAATTGAGTTATTTGAAAAGGTTGAAAAGTACAAAGTGAAAATGTAAATTATATCAACATGAACTAGCAGATCTTGTTACGTCGCCAAGAAAGTCGTTCCTATAAAAAGGAAAGCGATTGGAACATTTCCAGTGAGATGAATTATGCAATGGGTATTTTTACGAACATAGTCAACTAATAAAATTCTTTAAAATTTATATCTGTCGTTTTGCCAAGAATAAAGTTGCTACCAGACGGCATTATGACGACAATGAAGGAAGGAAACAGTTCGATAATGACGAGAGAATATTTCACAGCACGACAGGCAGGAGATTTGATCAGAATTGATGGTATTCGGATAAAAGGTGAATACAACCACATTTTATGCGAACATACAATTCCCTGAAGGTAGCAATTAGCGGGCAAGGGATTCATCATGCGACGAGATAACGATTCGGAACATTATTCTATGTGAAACGAACTTGGAAATGAAAAAACTAGAAGCAATTCTTGAAAATAAGTTTCTCAGACTCGGAACTTAGATTTGAGTAGAATATTATGGAATATATCAGACGGGAAAAATTGCAGCAAAAGGATTGCCAATAAATTTAAAATAGTACTCGATAGTTACAGTGTTCCAACTAAATATTAACTTTAACCAAATAATTTCGTCAATACTCCGTCTTTGGAATGGAGCGATCTCGATCGTTTTTAAGATACCTGAACCGAGCTTTGATCTACCAAAATTGAAACGAACATGCGACTAATATCAGGAACTAATATCTCGAGCACTCTCGTTATTAAAGAAGGAATTCCGCCAACTGAAAGCGGATTTTCAAAGGAACTCCCCAGGTCGGAATTAATTTCTCCATGGAAACTGGCGCAGGCGACGTCTAAAAACAGATATTAACCGGTATCTACTCTAAAGTGTAATTTATTTCCGCGATAGGTATCATCTGAAATCAAGATGGGAAGCGTGTAATGGCCAACCGACGCGAAGGGAAGGACGATAGAAAAGTTTTGCATAAACGGAAATCGATGGCGCGCCTGCGCGATCCGATGCCGCGCGAATAAAATACTATCGCCCACGGATTTGAAATTCAAAATCGACGCGAGGGGAGAAAGGGGTTCTTTTATGAAATGAAGTTTCATTTCGTGATTTCTTTCCGGCGCAGGGCAGAACCGCATCCTTCGTTTCAGAAATGAATTCTGGTGTGTATTGCGAAGTCCAATCGGTTCGAGGATCTTGGAGGATTTCGCTCCTTCTTTACTGTTCCCGATTGGGGTTGCTCGGACGACGTACAGAGAGTCACAGAAGTATTTATGGTCCCTCAAAGGATGAAACGATTGGTGGACTTTTAGGACAAGATACTAAAGAGTTTTTGTAAAAGAGATTCTGTAAAACACAACAATTTTGGCATCTCTGGTTCAGTAAGCTGTACGAAAATTGTTAATACCAAGTGCTTTGACACTTCTTAACACTTCTCAACACTATTTAAGATTTTTCAAAAAGTGGAGTTAATCGATTTGTCCAGTGAACAGCTCTATTCTGAATCAGTATGAAATGGCTACCATTAGCCAAGTATCCTGTAACATTTGCCCTAAGAAGATTTTCAACAGTCTCAGTCAGTATTTCAGTGGAGGTAGCATAAATACTTCTGCGACACACTGTAGCTACGATTCGGCATATATTTTTCCATTAAAGATCCCTGATTGAAGCCCTCCACTTCGATGGGTATTGTGCTCTTTGAAGTTGAAGCTCGTCTTCCCGTTTCGGGGTTCGCTCGAGCCAGCTGTAATACGAATCGATAAGAAACAGGGAAGAGCGATCGCAAAACTCGACGTAACTGAAAATGTCCCTCTCGTTGCAGGCATTCGAGGAGCTGGAGGAGCTCTTGGGAAAATACGACATATGTATCGCCATAAAGGAGAAACTGGTCAAGGATTCCGGTGTGGCTGGGGAAACGGCGTACGACAATATCGTTTTGAAATTGTTAACCAAACCGAGGGCCAAAGGTAAGTGCGAAAGGGGAGGGATAGAAGGTAAACCGAAGACATCTTAGGAAAATGTTAGAGGCAGTAAGCAGTAAAAAATTGGAGGAAAGATATAAAATGTTATAGAATGAAATTGCAGTCGATGCTTGTAAATTGGAGAACTGAATTCAAAATGCGGAGAGCATTGAAAAGTTAGAAGTATTGAACAGTACAAAAGAAATGAAATAGTATACATTAAAAGCCAAGGCTCGCTTGGCTGCGGTGGAGCACAAACCTCTCAAGTAACACCACCAAAAACTATCCCAAATCTACTCAGACAGTATTTCCGCGTAGACAGTAAGTACATTAACAGTATTCAATATTGGTGTCTCGCCAAAAAGTATTCTAAACCTACTCAG